TCAACCAAGTCCTAGACTTGATTTTCTCTCATGGATTGCATCTCAGCGTTCATGGCTTCAAGCCATTTGGCAGATTCAGGATCTGTCATTGCATACTGGTTGCTGACCGGCTCATCTACATTCGTTATTACAAAGCACTCGTCAATGAGAAATCCATATCTCTCAGGTTCATGACGAATTCTACCAGATCTGCGAACGCCTTGTGTTTCAGTAGGTTGAAGGACAATGATCTCTTCATCTTCAACAACCTCTTGTTCAGTACTAGTGCCAACTAAAGATGCATAGGGTTGAGGTTCTTGATCTTCTTCAATTTCCACAAGACTCCCACTTGCCTCATCCATTAAAAACTTGCTTTCTAAGAATTTAACTTTTCGTGAAATAAAGATCTTATTCTCACTAGGTATGTAGAAGTAATATCCTAAAGAATCTTTAGGATACCCTACAAAGATGCATTTGGTAGATCTAGGCTCAAGTTTGCTGGAAGTCTCTTGTCTAACATAAGCTTAGCATCCCAAAACTTTCATATAAGATAAGGATGGAGGTCTTACATACCACATCTCATAAGGTGTTTTATCTACCTTCTTAGTTGGTGCCATTTTCAAGATACAGGTTGCGGTGAGTAAAGCATAACTCCAAAAAGATAAAGGAAGGGTACTTCGACTTATCATAGATCGAACCATATCAAGAAGGTCTGATGAAGCTGTGGTGTTCTAGGTGGAATGAGTTGTGAGATAATCCCACGACTCCTTAGATGGTCTTGGAACTCTTGGATCAAGTACTCGCCTCCTCTATCTGAACGAAGGATTCTAATTGTTTTGTCGAGTTGATTTTCAACTTCACTTTGAAACAATTTAAACTTTTCAAATGCTTCATGTTTATGTTTCATCAAATACACATAACCAAAACGACCGAAGCCGTCATTGAAGGTGATATAATATCTCTCACCATATCTAGACATTATTTTAAAAGGTCTACATACATCTGTGTGTATGATGCGTAATAAAACACTTGCCCTTTCACTTGTTCTAAAGAAAGGGGATTTAGTCGTCTTGCCACATAAAAAATATTCACATATGTCAAATGACTCAGTGTCATTTTCCCCTAAAATTCCACTCTTTTGGAGTTGAAATATGCGTTTCTTATTTATATGTCCAAGGCGACAATGCCATATATATGTTTGGTTCGAATATGGTTTGAGCCTTTTTGTGTTAACATGATAAAGGGACTTATTGTTTGAGGTGTTATCTAGGTTTAGTTCATAAATTCCATTTATTGGTCTAGCCTCAAAATAGAAAAATCCTTTCAGGATGGAATGAATGTTATCATCAACAAATTTGAAATCGTAACAAGATTTTCTCAAACGTGAAACTGAAATGATATTTCTAGTAATAAAAGTAATTAAACATACATTGTCTAATGTCAAATACAGACCAGATGGTAAACATAAATCAAAATGTGATATTGCTTGGACTTCAACCCGTACTCCATTGCCCACATGCAATACCATCTCATTTGCTTTCAGTTCCATACTCTTTCTAATCCCCTGTAACGAATTACAAATATGAGTTCCACAACCAATATCTAATACCCAAGTGTTTGATGAAAAAGTAAATAATCCCATTTCAATCATGAAAATGGATATACCTGAAGGGACTTCCCCGACCTTCTTGTTTTTCAACTCTGCAAGGTACTTAGGACAATTCCTTTTCCAGACAACTCCACACTCAAAGCATGTGTCATATTTGGCAACCTTTTTCTTCTTCTTAGGTGGTGGTTTATGAGGATCTTTCTTCCCTTTGCCCTTGCCAGCTTGTGGTTTTCCCTTGAAGTTCTTGCCTTTGTTCTTCTTGACATTTCCTTCCCTAATCATGAGCAATTGGGGAGTTTTACTTGGGATATTCTTCTCTGTACTTTTTAGCATCCCGTGCAACTCAGAGATAGGTTTCTCCCACCTATTCATGTTGTATTTCATGATGAAAGCATTGTAAGACTTTGGCAAAGAGTTCAGAATGATATCTGTAGCCAAGTCTTGTGGATATGGAGAGCCTAATCTCTCCAATTGATCCATATAACGTTTCATCTTGAGAACATGTGTGCTCACATTCCCATTCTCCTTAATTTTCATGGCATGAAGTGCTCTCATAGTGTCAAACCTTTCGGTTCTAGCTTGTTTACTGAACATCTCCTTGAAATGTTCAATCATGTCAAAGGCAGTGTAGTGCTCCAAATTCCGCTGAAGATCGGGAACCATAGAGGCAAGCATAAGACATGAAACATCAAGTAAATCATCCACATGCTTTAGCCATGTATCATGTTCAGCCTTTGGGAGAGCAAGTGGTTCATCAGGAGTTTGGTTTTCAAGGACATAGTCTTTCTTTTCTTGTTTCAAAACGATTCTTAAATTTCTGTGCCAATCCAAAAAGTTGGAGTGGTTGAGTTTTTCATTGTCAAGAATTGATCGAATATACATTGGGTGATGTATTACAGTAATTGGTGGAGCCATCTACAAAATTTTAACAAAGCTTTCATTTAGTATTTAATTCTTTAAATAATAATACCCTTTTGTTTCCAGAAACATTATTTATTTAAAATCTAGGATCGAAGTTACAAATCAAATAAATGGTTAGGTATCCTTTATCCCATTTACCCAATTTTAACAATGTAAATAACTTTTATTAATTACACCATTTGTAATTCCTAGGTTTATGAGACCCTTAACAATCCATTTGTTAATTTGACATGTTTGGTCTCATTTATGCCTTGGAACACTCTTGCTTAGGTGACCGTTACCACAAGAGGTTTCCAATCAAGTCTTCCAATTAGAGAAACTTGTATAATTTACCCATAACTTGGTTATAAAAATCACAAAAGTACTTTGGCCATCAAAAGATAATACTAATGGTTAGGTATCCTTTATCCCACTAGCATTATACAAGTGATGTGCAAATGTTTCTAAAGTTGGATGAGATAGACTTGCATTTTGAATAAGGGATTTGAATGTTTTATTATCCTATGTAAAACATGTGATATCATGACAATTGCATGCATCCAATATGTCATGGTATCAAATTTTTTCTAAAAAAAAAAATCACTTTTAAGGTTCTTATAAGTTATAAAAACATGATGTTTACACTTATAATTCAATATTTCAAAAGTTGTGGTAATTAACAATTTTATAAAATCGGTTTTTATTTTATGGCTAAAATATGTTACATCTAATGTCCATATTTTTCATTTTGAAATCCAAACTCCATGTGATGTTTATTTTATCCAAAAAATAGTTTGGGTTTGTGAAAAACTAAATTACCAACCACACAAAATATTTACTTGAAAAATAAACAACACAAGCATGTAGTTGACATAAACAAGCCTTAAACTATATAACACTTTTGTGAGCCAACACAAAAGTGTTAATTCCTTCCTAAGGGACAAAGGGACCAAATATTACAACTTGTTCTTCATGTGATCTTCAAGCTCCCAGTTGCAATGACAACCAACTTTTTTGCAGTTTTATAAAACTTTATAAAAGTTATGAACTTTTATAAAATCATTATAAAACTGTGGGTCTCTATGGTTCGTCAACAAATGGCATCTATCTTCATATTGTTACATTTTTCATAAAATAAACCTAGTCTAAAACTAATCTATTACATAAAAATAACAAGAATAAAAACTAGCTACTTTTATTGCATACTTTATTAATAAAAGAATATTACAAACCATTTTCAACCAAATCACACAAACAACAACACAAATGGTCCAAGGCTTGTTTATGCACGCTAAAATACATATAAACATAAAACAACCTTTGTTTTTCTAAGACAACTTTAAGTGACAAAAATGCATGTAAGTTTTGTCACATAAAATAACAGTTATAAAGTGGTTAAAGAAAATATGTATGAACTTGTTTTTATGCAAAACAAGTTATCCATATTCTCCAAAAACTAAGATTTTCATAAATCAAAAAATCTAACCAAACTTGCAAGGTGGCTCTGATACCAATTGTTGGGTTTTATTTATAAAAAAACTAGTATAAAAAACTACAACTAATGGCAAACGGAAAACTTGAGTTTTATGAATAACATAAACAACTTATCACCCAACAAGGATCATCTTGCAAGTAATAGAAAGATTTAAAACACAACCATAGAAGGAAGAAGTGGTAACAACCTTTAAAGCACTTTGAGTCCTCTAGGGGAGGCTTGGCAGTTTATCGAGTGAGGATGAACCCTTGAGACACCAACAATATGCCATCTTGATATAATTCTAGTTACAAATCTTAAGCTTTAAGTCAAAACAATATTATGACTTAAAGAGAGAATGCAAGCAACAAGAAATCTTCAAAGTTCAAGAATTTAGAGAGAATATGGAGAGGGGAGAAGTATTCTCGGCCAAGGCAAGAAATGGTGAAGAAAATGAAAGCATTCACCTCATATTTATAATAGAATGATGGTCCAAGAGTCTTTAACCATTAAGTACTTTAGACCATCTTTTCCCCTTTGTCATAAACATGTTTCCTTTTCTTCTTGATCCTCTCTTACTCACGTTTTTCATGAAGAAAAAACAAGCCAAGAGTTTATATTTTATAAACTCAAAGTTTATAAGATATAAACTTTGTCTTTTTGCTAAAAGATAAAAGGCTTATTAGGTCCAAAAAGATGTACATGACATATATATTCATACACTATGAAATAATGTGTTACTTGTATTGTAAAATAATTTATTTCCTTGAAATAAACATTTTGCCAATTATTATAAGAGTTTATGAATATTTATTAAAATCAATTTCTAATAAATAATCAATTGTATCAAGTTGTTGTTAGTGTGACCCTTAGGATCATATCTTATTTAGCAATATCATTTTAATATGACTCTTGAGCACACTAGATCTTTCACTTATTCTATGTTTTTTTATTTTACATATATATGTCGATGCATGTGTATATTTGATAAAATGGTGGTTTGCTATAGTGATCCCTTCATTTGGGTGGCAGGCCAAAATGTGTATGCTTGTTACTCTTGTCAGTTCACTTTCTCAATTCCAGTGTCCTTTTGCTGCAACCACTATACCGAAAAGTCCTAAACCAACTAGTGCCTCTGATGAAGAAACTATTGATAGATCCCAATCTTACTTGATGGAGGGAATGCATTTTCTCAGCGAGGTATCTTCCCGTACCAAGGCACAAACTGAACTTCTTACAAGTCACCAACTTAAGTTTGAAGAGGGTCTTCAAGCTTTGAAACCGCTTCACAAGATTAATGACAAAACAGAGGGAGAAGCAAAGGAGCTACGTGAGAAGGTGTTGGTATTATCTGAAAGGAACCAATGCCCAGTCCATTATTTGAATGAGAGTTTGGACTATCAGGAGGAGTTAAAAAGGTTGAATGAGGATCTACAGTGGAAGAGTGATGATGTGATCAGCCGTCATGCAGCTGCAACCAAAGAGCCTGAAGAACTTTCTTAACAATTTCAATCGTTGAAATTGCAATATACTTAAAAGGCGTAGCAAGTAGCGATTTCTTGTTCGAGCAAAGATGTCAGTATTAAATTGCTCGAGGAAGAACTAGCTGCTGCCAAAGCTTTTGATTTTGGAAAATGATACCCAAATTGCTTCCTTCGGTGAATCTCAGTCTTTGGTGAACCAATATGTGTTGCGTTGTGGATAGGAGCTGGAGAAAAGCAATTTTAATTTACAATGGTTTGTGAGATAAAGTATCCCTTCCTTTGTTCAAGCTCTTTGGAAGTCTGGTGATTTTGGGAATGTGAATGCTGCTCTTCAGACGGTAGCTATTGAGCTTGGGCTTCATGAAGCTTGCTATGAGATAAAGGAAAAATACTTCGAGGCTTTGGATGGAAAAATCCCGCTGCTCAACGTAACATCATGGATTATTTATCTGATATGATTACTCATAAATATTCATTGCTTAGTCTTTTGGAGGGAATAAAGTAGAAATTCAAGCTTTGAACGAGCGTCTGAAGTCATTAGATCCAGTGGGGGAATCATGATGATGTATGTGGTGGTGATTGACTTTTTTGTACTTCGTTCTAGTTTATGGTTTGCTTTTCTTGTATGTTTTGTATTGCATGTTGTGCTAGAACTTTTGGTTGTTGTTGTAGGATCTGTAATGACTGATGTTTTGTCTTCACCACATATTGTAGTTATTAGTAATCTTTAAACTCATTTTTTTGTCCAAGCGAACTAATACTGAATTGTAATCATATTAATCATAGTGATTTTAAATAAAGGTTGAGCCATAAAGTTTGAACGTATAGTTCGAGCAAAAAAACATTGAGCTATAATTTGCAGTAACCGTAAGCTATGAAGGTATGATTCGAGCAAATTAACATCGAGCCATGATTTAAGGGACTATGGCGACGTGAAATAATGACTGAATCGTAAGGTATGAAGGTATATGAAATAATGACTTAACCATAAGGTATGGACTTATGGTTCGATCATATTAACTTCGAGCCATATTTTTTAGGATTATGGTGATGTGAAATAATGACTGAACCATATGGTATGAAGTTATGGTTCGAGCAAATTAACATCGGGACATATTTTGGAGGATTATGGCTATGTGAAATAATCACTGAACCATAAGGCATGAACTTTTGGTTTGAGAAAATTAACATTGAGCCATAATTTGGAGGATTATGGCGATGTGAAATAATGACTGAACCATAAGGTATGAACTTATGGTTCGAGCAAATTAACATCGAGGTATAATTTGGAGGATTATGATGATGTGAAATAATAATTTAGCCATTAGGTATGAAGTTAGGCTTCGAGCAAATTAACATCGAGCCATAACTTGGAGGAATATGGCAATGTGAAATAATGAATTAACCATAAGGTATGAACTTTGGTTCTATCAAATTAACATCGAGCCATAGTTTAAAGGATTATGACGATGTGACATAACTACTAAACCATAAGGTATGAGATTATTGTTGGAGAAAATTAACATCAAGCCATATATTGGAGGATTATGGCAATGTAAAATAATGACTGAACCATAAGGTATGAACTTATGGTTCGAGCAAATTAACATCGATCCATAATTTGGAGGATTATGGCGATGTGAAATAATGACTGAACCATATGGTATGAACTTATGGTTCGAGAAAATTAACATAGAGCCATAACTTGGAGGGTTATGGTGATGTGAAATAATGAATGAACGATAGGGTATGAATTTATGGTTCGAGCAAATTAACATCGAGCCATAATTTGGAGGATTATAGCGATGTGAAATAAGTACTGAACCATAAGGTATGAACTTATGGTTGGAGCAAATTAACATTGAGCCATAACTTGGAGGGTTATGGTGATATGAAATAATGAATGAACCATAAGGCGTGAACTTATGGTTTGAGTGAATTAACATCAACCCATAATTTAGACGATTATGGCGGTGCGAAATAAATTCAAAGTGATAATGATTATGGGGCCATAATATTACATTAAAGAAAATAATCATGTTACAATAAAAAGACTAGTTTCTAATGCTATTCGATCATGATCTCCAATTAGCTGTCCAAATTCTTCTTGGGCGATGTCTTAAGAAGTGGAACTTGTGTAGACTTCGAATATTCCATGTTCTTGGTAGGCGAATTCATTCCATGGTTTCTAGGATATATGATCCATTTTGTCTAGCTTCGATTACTCGAGATGGTCCTTCCCAATTTGGTCCTAGATTACCAATCTATTCTTGTCGGCTAGGTTTGTTCTTTTGATTGACTAGGTCTCCTACCTTACATGTCGCTCCTTTGACTCTTGCATTATCGTACCTTTTTATAATTGCTTTGTAAGTTCGTCTTTTTTTTTCTTCCAATAGATCCATGTTAGTTCGTAAGCTTGCCCTGTTAGAGTGTTCTTGAGGATTACTCATTCGCATACTCCTTATAGTTACTTCAATTGGGATGAATGCTTTCGTCCCATACACAAGACTGAATGGAGTTTCCTATGTTGGCATTATTAATGGTGCTCTATACGCCCATAACACGCTTTGTAACTCATCATCTGAATTCCCTTTAGCCTTTCTTAACCTTTTCTTAATTCCTTTTACCAAAGTTCAATTTGTTATATCCACTTGATTGTTTGTTTGAGGATGCGCCACCGAAGTAAAATTCTGCTTGATCCTTTTCTCTTGACACCATTTCTTGGAAGGATTATCAAGAAACTACTTAGCATTGTCACTTATGATAGTGTGTGGAAGCCCAAAACGACAGCCGATTTGTCTCCATGCAAAATCTGTGACGTTCTTTCCTAAGATTACTACTACCGCTTCTGCTTCGACCCATTTCGTGAAATAATCTACTGCCACTACGAGGAGCTTTAATCTTTCTAGTGCTTCAGGTTAGGGTCCAACGATATCGATTCCCCACTCGAAGAAAGGCCAAGGACTAATGATACATGTCATGGCTATTGGTGGTAGCGCGGATATATTCGAATGTATTTCATAGTAATGACATTTCATTATGAACGTATTCGTATCTTGGGCCATGGAAGGCCCGAGGTAACATGTTCTAAGGATCATTTGGGTAATTTCCATTGACCGAGCATGTGACCCACAAATGCCCGAATGTATCTCATGTGATGCATTTCAACCATGGGTTAGATTATCCCTTTCGATACAGTCGTTCCTCACACATGGTGTAATTTGGTGCATTTATTCATATTTTTCTAGCTTCCTTTTCACCTCTTGATACCAATCCTTTTTTCAGAAAAAGGACATATGGTGTCATAGTTACTTCATGCAAAATCTGTGACGTTCTTTCCTAAGATTACTACTACCGCTTCTGCTTCGACCCATTTCGTGAAATAATCTACTGCCACTACGAGGAGCTTTAATCTTTCTAGTGCTTCAGGTTAGGGTCCAACGATATCGATTCCCCACTCGAAGAAAGGCCAAGGACTAATGATACATGTCATGGCTATTGGTGGTAGCGCGGATATATTCGAATGTATTTCATAGTAATGACATTTCATTATGAACGTATTCGTATCTTGGGCCATGGAAGGCCCGAGGTAACATGTTCTAAGGATCATTTGGGTAATTTCCATTGACCGAGCATGTGACCCACAAATGCCCGAATGTATCTCATGTGATGCATTTCAACCATGGGTTAGATTATCCCTTTCGATACAGTCGTTCCTCACACATGGTGTAATTTGGTGCATTTATTCATATTTTTCTAGCTTCCTTTTCACCTCTTGATACCAATCCTTTTTTCAGAAAAAGGACATATGGTGTCATAGTTACTTCCTCGATACTCCTCCTTGGCAGTATTTCCATTAAAATATTTTACGAAAGGTGGTTGAAAACTACCGAGGATAACTTGCTCAAAGCGTCTTATTCTTTTTTCTTTGATCTCGGCGCCTATGTAATTTCAAATTCTTGAAAAAATCCTAATCCATGCATGTAACTGAGCCAATATTTTTTGATGTGTGTTTCTTTTACTTCATAATCTCCTTTAATATGATTGACCACCAACATCGAATCACTAAATACCTTCAAGTTTGAGATATTAACGCGCACTGACAATCATAACCCTGCAATTAAGACATCATACTCTGCTTCATTGTTTGAGCATTTGAATTCGAATCGTAGTGCGTAAGTCGACTTGTCGCCTTTGGGATTGATAAGGATGATGCCTACTCCCGAACCATCTCTACTTGATGCCCTATATCTGTAAAGTAGCTACTATTCCTTGTTAATCCGATTCAATATTTGTGGGTGAACAACAATATGTTCTGATGTGTCATTATATATCCCGGGTCATCGGGCATTTCTGATAAGAAATTTGCAAGAACCTAGCCTTTGATGTTGACCCTTGGCTTGTATGTTATGTCGTGTTCCCCTAATTCGATTTCCCATTTCGGAATCATTCCTATTCGTTCAGGTTGCATCAATACTTTTTTCATCGTTGGTTTGTCGGCACAAGGATTGAGTGCGCTTGGAAATATCTACGCAACCGTCTTGCTTCATAAGCTAGAGATAGAACTAGCCTCCACACTATCGAGTAATTCTTTTTGCCTCCTTGCAGTAGCCTACTAATGAAGTAATATGGCTTTTTATTTTTATTTCTTTCCGCCAACAACATTGTTCTAATCACCTCTTGGCTTGCCGACATGTATATTGTCAACATTTGTCCTGTGATAGGGCTTGCTAGTGTCGGTAGGTGTCGGAGGCATTGTTTCAGCTGCCGGAAGGCTTCCTCGGCTACATTCGACCATGCGATATCTTTCTTTCATATGTGAATCTTTAATGCCTGGAAGAAAGACAATGTCTATTCTACTAACTAAGCTAGAAGACACCCTACTGCTGCCAGTTTACCATCCAAAATCTTTATGTCTTTCATCGTTCAGGGTGTCTCCGTCTTCAGTAGAGTTTCAATTTTTTATGGGTTTGCCTCTATCACCGATTTTGTTACAATATGACCCAAGAAATTTCCCTT